GGGACAATAGTTGCCCACCCCGATGCCAGGCTAATTTTTCTAATTTTTAAAATAGAAACGAGGTCTTGGCTTGGCACCTGTAGCTCAGTGGTTAGGGTGCTGGCCACATACACCTGGGCTGGTGGGTTCAAACCTGGCCCAGGCCTGCTAAACAACGACAACAGCAAAAGATAGCCGGGTGTTGTGGTAGGTGCCTGTAGTCCCAGCTGCTTGGGAGGCTGAGGCAAGAGAATCACTTAAGCCTAAGAGTTTGAGGTTGCTGTGAGTTATGATGCCACAGTATTCTACCGAGGGCAGCATAGTGAGACTCTGTCTCAAAAAAAGAAAGAAAGAAACGAGGTCTTAACTTGTGCTTATGCTGGTCTCAAACTCCTGAGCTCAAATAGTCCACCCACCTCAGTCCCCCAGAGTGCTAGGATTACAGGTGTGAGCTACTGCACCCACCAGGGTTTTCTTTTCTTTTCTTTTTTGAGATAGAGTCTCACTTTGTCACCCTTGATAGAGTGCTGTGGCGTCACAGTGATACCAGAATTTTGCTCTTCAGTAGGCTCTTGGTCTCGGTGATTCGAAGAATGAATCCCTGGACCACAGATCAGTGGTAAGACAGGATTTATTTACAGAAAAGAATATAGAAGCGCCAGAGCTCCTGGCAGAGAGAGAAAACTGGAGTCAGGAAAGAAAAGCTCTCTCTCTGTCTTTCTGTCTAACTGTCTGTCCATCTCTAGGCTTTTTGTCTAGGGGTATATACAGTCGCATAGGGCCCTTGGTAGTTACATTTAGCACGGTTTGGTAGTTAGATTTAGCATGTCTGGGACATCCTTGTGTCTGGGATATCTTGTCTGGGACATGTCTGGCACAACATGTCTGGGACATGTCTGGCCCTCGGTAGTTACATTTAGTGGGGCTTGGTAGTTACATTTAGAGTGTCTGGGACAGCGTGTCGGGTATGTCGGGGTTACAAATGAATGGCTATAATCCCTTTCATTCCCAGGCCTAGGAAATGGGACCCCCATGCCCACCCTCCAGCCCACTGGTTCCGCTGCTTGCTGCCACCACACCAACATCGCCAAGGCAGAGGCAGCCGGTCTGCGCCTCCCACCCTCTCAGCTCCACAAGCTGGCTGGGACACCACTTGTCCTGTATCAACAGCTCACAGCAACCTCAAACTCTTGGGCACAAGTGATTCTCTTGCTCCAGCCTCCCAAGTAGCTGGGACTACAGGCACCTGCCACAATGCCTGGCTATTTTTCAAGCTGGGGTCTTAATCTTGCTCAGGCTGGTCTTGAACCTGTGAGCTCAGGCCATCTACCCACGTTGGCCTTCCAAAGTATTAGGATCGCAGGTGTGAGCCACTGTGCCTGGTCTCTGGTTTTTTTCTTTTGCAGTTTTTGGTTAGGGTCAGATTTGAACCCACCACCTCCGGTATATGGGGCCAGTGCCCTACTCCTTTGAGCCACAGGCGCCACCTGGTTTTTTCTTTTTCATACAGAGTGTTTTGAAGATGAAAATTGAAAATGAACTATAACATTCCCACTAAGAGAAATCCTTTTGATGGTTAAAAAATGATGATAAAGGCACGGCACCTGTGGCTCAAGTGGCTAAGCGCCAGCCACATACACCTAAGGTGGCAGGTTCGAATCCAGCCCGGACCCACCAAACAACAATGATGGCTGCAACCAAAAAATAGCCGGGCATTGTGGCGGGTGCCT